TTTTGACGAAGGAATCATAATCTCCGACCATGTAAACCCCCAGATACCAATCTTGAATAGAATCTGATCATAATCACAGAACTCGTCATATTGGGTTCGCCATCTCGAATTTCCTAATTTTGAAGAATTTTTATTATCCCATATTCCAGATGAATACAATAAAAAATCAAATATCATGAAAATTGTTCCAGCCGTTGTTGAATTAAAAATGGTGTAACTATCACGAATTTGGACTTCCTTGTATATAGACAAATCTAAACATTCTAAACAATCTAAATTCATCGACTGTTTACCCTAAAAACAGTGCCCCATATCCAAATGCATCTTCAGCTTCTAAACTCTGGAGTTCTCGATCAATTGAATTTCCAAAATTCCTACTTTCTCACACTCATGTCCATTTATTTATTGTCAACTCACGTTCTCGAATTTTCCAGCTTCACATAGGTAGGCACAATAACACATCATGAGTAATCATAATTCGAGCACAATGGAAAACTAATAAAATAACATGATACCATAGATTCATAGATTAAAGATTGAAATCTCTTATACATACCAAGGAAGTCTTATACTAAAAATAATTGTGGTTGCAGTATCGTAGATTAATAATAATCTACATGTACCTACCAATATATTAGAAATCCAACAAAAACTAACATTTGACAACTCTGCTTCTATACGCTGAATGCCATGTTACAGAAATCTGTAAAAAATCGAATTTGCGACCACGCGCGGTAATTCGCAATAGCGGCGATAGATGGTAAAAATTCGGGGTCCCAACTAAATCCCAAACAAGCGTTACCGTCTGAATGCATGGGCGGTGTATATCTAGGGGAGTCGTTAATCTATGACTCGAGTATTTAACAAATTTGTCATTGAACATTATAGACAAAAACACAAAAATTCAAAAGTGGCGAATAAACAGAAAAAAAAACAAAAAGAATGGATCACCATAGGGCTCATAAATTCTGTCAATAAAAAAACCATCTCTACCAACAATATAAAAAATACCCGCACGACATATTGAAAAAAACTACCTACATTAGCTATAGAAATAATTTAAATCGTCTTGTGAAAAAAAGAAAAGCTGAATACTATCGCAAAGAAATTGACAAGAATAAAAATAGCTGTAAAAGTCTATGGAAAATTGTAAATGGCATTAAGAATCCCAAACGTGATAATCTTATGAAAAGTATCAAACTCTCAAACGATAGAGTTCTAACGAACCCTCATGACATAGCAACTGAATTTAATTATTTTTTTGCAAATATTGGAAAAACACTAGCGGACAAAATAAAAAAGACGTCAACACCTAGGCCTGCAAGAAACAGATGTCCCAATTCCTTTTTTCTCACACAACTCACCGAACAAGAAACTAAAACTATAATTATGGAATTAAAATCTCTTACGGCCCCGGGTATAGATGGAATACGGACAGAATTCTTGAGAAATGTCATAAACGAAATCGCTTCCCCAATCGCTCATTTAATAAACTGTATATTCAATAGCGGGATATGTATACCTACTACACAAACATGTAGGCGCCCTTCGTTTTCAATTTCGGACTCATTGGAGGTAACGTAAAAGTTTTTTCACTATACAATTGATGCATTATTCTAATTTGACATACTCAGTCATCTTCGTCATATATCGATTCCAAATTAGCGAAAAAAAAAAAAGGATTCAGTAGTTCAACGTCCTGATTTTCATTAGCTTTAGTCAATTAATCACGAACGCTTCAGTACAAGTTCATGTGAAATCTCATCCTACTAGTATGACGTCAGCATCGAGAGAGAGGGGCTGGACTACGGCCCTGATTAAGCGAATCATAATAGGCAAAATTAACATGTTATCTAAAAGACGGTACGTTTCTCGAAAAAAATTGAGATGCAGATAAAATCTTTAAATTGAACGATCCGCCCTATTTGGTTACTGGAAGATGTCAGAGGAGTACTACGAACAATTTTGGTGGGAATAAAGAAGCCTCTTTCCTCAAAAACGTATCACCCTGTGGATTTCCAAAATATCTGAAATGCTTCATATGATGATCTTCTACAAAGTATTGACCACAACAAATTTCAAATTGATGTCTTCAGAAGTGAGCGAGATATTTCAATTAATAGAAAAAAATAATTTAACTTTGACCCCTGTATATCCGCTATTGATCGAGATCGGACACATATTTAAACACACTTTTTTTATCAAAATAATGAGATCTGTCACCCATTTCAGTTTGTACCTTAAAACCTTAATCACCTTGTATAATAATCATTTTTCAGGAATATTCAATCTGTATGTTTGTTCCTGAATTGAAATATGTGAATTCTACTGATGAAATGATTTAAATTTTCCTAATTACATCATTACATAAAATTAAAATGAATTATATAAATAAGTTTGGCAACTTTGTATTCGATTATTTACTACGAGTTACGCACATTTTTCTCAAAGTCATTCACGTATGTCAAAATCCTACGTTACAGTGTTGTTGTGTTGTGTTTATTTATTTATTTATTTAATATTTATACATCCAGCAGGCTTACGCCCATTTACAGGTGTATGTAATAATACATGGTTATTAGTTGGATCGCTAAAAATATATACCTATATCTATACATAACTCGAAAAGAATATAAACTAAGATATGTGAAACTAGTTCCCCAAGGCACTAAATAGTCTATGCTTGAATTGAGACAGCGAGAGAGAAAATATATCAATACTTTGTAAATTGTTGTACTTTCGGCACATTGTTGTGAGGGGACAATGGGAGTGATTTTGTGTGTTTGGTACAGCAATGCGGAACGTTATATCTGATCTTGATACGGAACGTGGTACATTGAAATCAATCAGAGAAAGTAATGAGGATGAATCGATATTATTATGGATAATTTTATGCATAAAAGTTACCATATTAGGAAGTTTTGGCGTTTCAATTGATTTTCAGTGTTTCCTTGTTATGAATCTCCAAAGATTATATTATCACAGTGTTATATGTTTCTTTTAACTTGAGCGGAGTGGTGTAGTTATCGCAGGTTATTTATCTAAATAATTGCAAGAAACTTCGTTTTTTTTTTGTTTAAATTCCACTGAATGATGGATCAAAATTAGGTAATTATCTACCTAAGGTACTACGAAAATGTGTTATTAAAATTACAATACATTTTCTGATAGGTATAATAGCATTGCCATTGTCGTAAAACTGTCTTACCCCATGCTTAACCTATGCGAATGTTGAAGAAGAGCGTGAATATTGACGCACAGTTTACAGCGTTGCCATTTTTTTAAGCCATCTATTTCTAACTCACTCAAAACTTTGGAAGTATGTGTGATTATAAACAAATATGTTTTATGAATGAAATGTTATGTCTCCCCTATTTTTATATGACTATGGTCGAAACCTTGTGGGAGTTATTTATTATTATTAATATACTTTATTTCAAAAAAAGGTTTACATTTTATATAAAACATATAACAAAGAATGAAACAGTGTCACAAATCATAGAAAATAAATAAATTAGTTTGAATTTAGATATTTACATTCAAATATTCATCTATAGAATACGGTTCTAGTTCAGTAAGCCAGTTCTTCAGATGATTCTTGAATTTTTTCACACTATCAATCACTTTCATTTCATTTGGTAATCTATTGAAAAATCTAATTGCTGAATAATTCGGATGCTTTTCTGTTGAAGTTAAACTATGTGTTGGAAAAGTGAAATTCCTGTTCCGAATGGGGTATCTGCTATTATCACTTTGTGTGAAATTCATTTTATTTTTATACAGATGTATGACACATTCATAAAAAATATATAGAGCAAATACGGTCATTATTTTATTTGATCTGAAGGTACCTCTGCACGTTTCAACATATTTCATATTGTATAATGATCTTATAACCCTCTTCTGGATCTGGAATATTTCCTTAGTTTGACTGCTCGATCCCCAAAATATTATGCCAAATTTTGCAGTGGATTCAAAGTTCGCATGATAGATAATTTTTAGGGACTTTTCATTCAAGTATTTACAAAGTATACGAATGCTGTATGCTATTTGGTTTAGTTTTGCTCCAAGATAGTTGATGTGTGTATCCCACTTTAAGTTTTCATTTATAAAAACACCCAAGAATTTTGTGTTACTTTCTATATTGATGTTAGTTTCGAGAAGTCTTATACTAGTTGGAGTTGTAATTCTTTGCTGTGAGGTCCGGAAAAGGATAACATGAGTTTTTTCTTTGTTGAGTAAGAGATTATTTTTTGAGAACCACTCATCAGCTCTCATAATGAGACTTTTAGAATTTTCGCAGAGTTCTGGGTAGTTTGAACTTGAAGTTAGTAAATTGGTATCATCAGCATAGCTGGTTATCAGGCTGTTATCGTTGTTTAATATTGATATTATGTCATTCATAAAGATTGCAAATAAAATTGGACCTGTAATACTTCCCTGTGGAATCCTTATTCTGTATTCTTTTATGTGTGACTTAGTGATTTTACCTTCATGCATAATTTTTACTCTTTGTTTTCGATCTAATAGGTATGACTCAAACCATTTGAATGCATTGCCACGGATTCCATATTTCTCAAGTTTTGATAGCAAACAATTGTGGCTCAAGCAGTCATAAGCTTTAGACAAGTCTAAGAAAATTCCTAGCAAAATCTCATTTTTTTCAAAAGATTCTATTATTTTTTCTGTAAATTGAATAATAGCAGTTTGTACAGATCTTCCTTTGATATAACCATGCTGATGCAAGTTTATTAGGTTACAGTGATTCATAAAGTTCATTAGTCTAGTGCACATGGCCGTCTCAAAAAGTTTCGAGAATGAAGGCAAAACACTGATAGGTCTGTAGTTCTCATATAATTCATGATTTCCTTTTTTATGAATCGGTGTTATTAATGAGATTTTAAGTTGTTCAGGAAATATTCCATATCTATCCAGTGTTCTTGGCATTATAAAACTTGAAAGATGTAGACAGTTCATCAACAAATGTTAAAAATACTTACGTTTGTATTCCACACCATTTCCCAAAAATCTTGGCAAGTGTGACTCATTGGTCCTTGGGTAGCTATATAAGCCGTTTCAGTATAATCTGGGCCCTATAAAGGTTCAATATTATAGATATAAGACAAGAAATCAGTTTACTTGCAGTTAGGCATTTCAAATCCAGTTTTATACTGCTGCCTTTCTCTTGTGGATAATTGACATCGATTTTTAGGTAATCAGAAATGCAATATCAAGCATCGGAGGATATATGTCAATACTAAAGTGATGAACATTTTTTTCCAAAAGTTGTCGAATTTATAGAGGACAATGTAGTTATATTGGGAATTGTTCAAAATTAGCTCTTTCATGAAATTGATCCAGAAAACCTAAATGGATATGACCTTTTCTGAAGTTTTTGTAGTATATAGAGTTCAGACACTTTGATACACAGTGACAGTTAGACGTAACCATAATCCTTATACAAAGTATTTTGTTTCATCCGTTGCATTTCTGATATCCAGAGATAATCTAAAATTGCAATAATATTCAGGGTGATCCACTTGACGTAGAGAAGAGAAACGCAGAGAAACTGGGGTCGGGGATAGCTGATGGATTAATTTTTGAAGACTTTGTGAAGCATCTACAAGAATTTTTATTTCGTCATTTCACATACCCACGTGTAAAGTTATAATTCACAGATTAATTTTCCTTTCAGAATTATAGTTTGATTTTACATATATACATCTTATTACTCACCTACAAGAATGACCAAACACCAATAACCATTTATTTAACAAATAAATGTGAATATTGTATTTTATAATTAAAGGCTCATTAATGGCGACACTTTGTCTGTTTCCTGATGATATTCAAGCGAGAAAAGAAATCCTTCATAGCCACCAAAATTTCAAGGAACCACAAAAAACGAGATTCAAAAGATAAGCTTGCAGAGATGGTGCTACAAAAAACGCGGCAGAGATCACCGATTCAAATGGAAACCGAAGTGTTGTTGGTTGCAGAATCTTCAGTAGGAAAATAATAAATGTATGAACTAACCTACGCATATGCAACCAGCAATACTGGAACTGGACGACTTTGCAGGTTGCCCAGCGTACGTCAAATAACCCAAACTACTGAAATTACACTAATTGATATATTCACACAAATAGTAATGAAGTAGCTATTACTGGAGGAAAACGTAAACAGTAGGCAAATGAAATAAGGAAACAAAATACTTTGTATATATATCTTAAATGAACTTTAGGAACAACGGTACGATTAATATTGTGATGAGAGGTTTCAGCACAACGTACTGCGTCATATTTACAACAATATGATAGCTACATAAATCAACATTGGAAAAAATACTTCAGTCAGAACATATGCCCAATCCCTGTATATTATTTATGGCTCTCTATAACATAATTATTTTTCATTACCTGAACCAAAAAGCCATTACCCCCCTCCCCTCCAAGAAAAAACATTATCGACGCCCCTGAGAATAGGTATAATTGTATACACATGTTCAAGATTGACATTGACACTGGCGTTACAGACCAACTCATTGGGCATTTGAGTAACCCACTGTTGAGCCAAAAACGATACGTAACACGTCGATTTTTATTTGGAGAAAGACACCGTTTGGTGCAAAAAGATAGTAGATACTTCAAATCCTCTACTCCGCAGAGCAACCCCTTCAATGATTTGAATTGGGAATATGGGTCATGTTATACATCATTGCAAAGGTATTTTGATTTTGACACTAGCAGTACAAAGTTTTTTGAATCCCAACAAGGCGTTCTCGAGATATTCGAGTTCAAATGGTATGTTGTTTAATGTATCAATGAATGTACGGAATGAATTATCAAATAGGTATCCACCACAAATGATCAAAATGGCCTTCATTCACCCCCAGACAATCTGTTATTTGGTATCTGTTATTTATTCATTTTTATTTATTTATTTATTGAACAAATAGTCAGAATAGGCTCTGGTATAAGGAAGTACATAATTATATACCTATAGGTAAACATATCATTATTCAAAATATATCAACAACTATAAATTGGCATGATTAATTTTATCCAGTTCACTCAGAAATAATCAGTTTTTTTACTTCATTTTTGAATGTACCTATATTTCTTCAATTTTTTATATTGTCAGGTAGTTTATTGAATTCAGTTAAGGCTGAATGAGTGAATCTTTTTTGTCCGATTATGGTTAGTTCAATTCTCAAATATCTCCTGCACATTTGAAAATCTTGTTATTGTGTAGCATAGAATCCTTAATCTCCTTTCCAAATCGTTCAGGTCGGTGGTTTTCGTATCATATATGGAAGATTCCAAATCACTACAGAGAAATAAATCATCGGGTACCAAGTCTGGAGAGCGTGCAGGCTCCAAAGAGAAAAATTATTGGGTGCCATGTCCGGTGAGCGTGCTGGCCATTTTATAGGTACTCTAGGACCTATCCATTTATTTGAAAGCTTTTGGGATTCACAGAGTCACGGTTCTTGATGATGATGTTGATCAAAATATATTGGCAAATAATATCTATTTTCAACAAGATAGTGCGCCAACTCATTCCGTATTACAAATGATTTTTTTCCTTGAGATCATTTGAAATTCGTTATTTATGAACTGGGACCTACTGATCTGGATGATCTGGATGATTTGAAAAGAAGAATAAGGATTTAAAGCCAGGTGATAACTAGAGAAACATTAATTTACTCAAAATTAGGAAACATACCATATACCATTTGAACTCGAATATCTCAAAAACGGCTTGCTAGAATTCAAAAAACTTTGCGCTGATAGTGTCAAAATTGAATGACCCTTGCGATGATGCTTCACATGACCCTTATTCCCTGTTCCAATTATCGAGGGGGTTGTATCTATTATCTTTTTTGCGTCAAACGGTGTCCCCCTTCTAATAAAAATCGACGTGTTTCGTTATTTTTTTTAAATCATTTTTCTGCGAGTTATGGAGGATGGATAGTCTTGAATGGACCACCCGGTATATCAAAAAATCGGCTATATCTTCGTAGTCGTTTGACATAACTCCATCATACCCTGTAGTGTTGGATTCATATTTGAACTGATTGTGAAATGAAATCAACTAGTATCTTGTAGGTAGATAGATAGATAGTTTGTTCTGATCATTCTGTATTTTCTGATAGCGAAAAAAAAAAAGAAAAACCATTTCAACAGACTTTTAAAATTTTTAAATCGGTTTAAAGTAGCTGAGCTAGAGGAGAGGGGGCATTTATCCTTGATTATTTACACTAACAAGGTAAACCATCCTTATGAGAGGGGGCATTTATCCTTGATTATTTATACTGACAAGGTGAACCATCCTTATGAGAGCAATACAGCCCAAAATTCAATTCAGTAACTGGCACCGATCGCGGTATCTATGAGTGAGAAGGTGAACTACTTTTTGTGGAATAGCGAAGAGTAGAGATCGGTAATGCAGGATTATTCGAAGTTTATTTTTCCATGTTTTTATGAAAGGAAGAATGCCGCATCAGGGCCGGATTTTTTTTTTTATCGCTTGTAGCGCACGAAAGGGAATCCCTATAATGTTCAAAGAACATCGTGCGTTCCTAGGGAGGATAGGGACAGGAGGTAGGTATTGGAGTTTTTTTTGAACTTCTGGAGATTATACAGGGTGTCCTTAAAAGGTCTTTACAAAAAGCTACCACATATTCTTCAGACCAAAACAATTCGATACAAGCAAACTTACCTCAGTAAAAAGTTGCTTAGTTTGGGCGCTAGACGGCTCTGAAGTTGAAATTTTCAAATCGATTTTGCTTCATAACTTTTGAACGGCTCATGAGATTTTTTTTCAAATTTGGTACGTTGGCATAGACTCATCGGGCAATGAAACTCATATCATAATCATAATGAATATCATTCCATGGGCGTAGAACTTGATTTTTTCAGGAAATAAACATCTAAAACTCCTACGCCAATGGAAAAAAATTAGTTTCAATATGAAATCTAAATTATTCAACTCATTCACTACAAAAAAGGTACTCTTGACAAAAGTCGATTCCTCTCATGGTTTCGACAAAATTTTAATTTTAGTGATTTAGAGCATAATTAATAATAAAACGATTAACAGATATTTCATAAAAATTGTTCAAAATGTTCACCATTTTCACGTATACAAAGATTTATACGACGCAAAAAGTTGAAATGTACTCTTTGCATAACTTCTTCATCGCCTGTAAGATTATTCGTCGCCTGTTGGATACGTTGCCATAATTGTTCTACAGTATTCACAGGGGTCTTGTAAACCGTAGACTTGAGATAACCCCATACAAAATAATCCATCGGTGTTAAGTCTGGAGAACGTGGTGGCCAATTCACGGGTGCATCATTACCTCTACCTATCCATCTGTCTGGGTACTGTTGGTTTAAAAAATTCCTAACATCCACCGAAAAATGTGGTGGAGCTCCATCGTGCATAAACCACATATCTACCCGATGTTGGAGTGGTAAATCTTCCAACAAATTTGGCAATGTATTTCGTAGATGTTGTAAATACATGTCTCCTGTTAATCTTTGTGGAAGTATGACAGGACCAATTATAAAATTTCCTATTATTCCAGCCCAAACGTTGATTTTGAATTCGTGTTGAAAATGGTTTATTTTAATGGAATGAGGATTTTCAATTGCATAAACGTGTTCATTATGAAAATTAGTTATTCCTCTTCTCGTGAAACAGGCTTCATCAGTGAACAAAATATTCTTTCCAAAGTTCAGATTCATTTCTCTTTGCAAATTAATGAACCTACAAAACATCAGACGACTTTGTGAATCATGGATTAATAAATCTTGAACTGGCGTCTTGTGGTATGGGTATAATAATTGTTCTCTTAGTACTTCATGAACGGCATTCCTAGAAACTTCTAGTTCATTACTTATCCGTCTAGTACTCAATTCTGGATTTTCTTCAATACGGTCTAAAATTTCTACTTCGACTTCGGGAATCCTTACATAACGCTGTCTTCCATAATCACCAGTTCTAGGAGCAAAATGACCGGTCTCCCGAAGACGTCTCTCAACTGCAGCAAAGGTTGGGTGGCTTGGTACGCGACGATTTGGAA